GCCCTGTTAAGAATTAACTCAGAAGTTCTGTTTTATGGACAAAGAAATCTTTCTTGAACCTATACCGATTCATGGCAAAGAGAAATCGACAAGCCAAGGAGCATGCGTCACAAAAGTGCCGAACGGAGAAAACCTTTCTGGACAGGGGACCGCCGAAATGTTGATCACCACACTTGACGCAGCTCAACATTCCACCAGGAAAGTACGTATACCGACTGCCTGAACAGCCGCCAACGTTACCGACGCCGCGTAGTTACACGAAATACAGATAACTCGCGCTGTTGTTCTCGGTAACCTATCAAGCTGGGAGCGGAAAAAATCTCCAGGGTGCGACGACACCCGCCATCTGTGTTGAAACAGTGTGCAAATACCCCCAGGTGGCCCGCCCTGCAATCTCTTCAATACTCCTTGGGTGAACAAAAGCTCCCACGAGAATGGGAACGGACCACCCCTTTTCCCATCTTCAAAGGAGGAGACAGGTAGAATACCAACTGCTATAGACCCATAGCACTTCTACCAGTAATATCAGAAGTAATGGAAAGTGTGATGGACGACCTTATCAGAAAATATCTGGACACAGGCGGGCACTCAGTGACGCTCAACATGGCTTCCGGAAGGGTAGGTCCCGTGCCCCCAACCTCCTGACGGCCCACGATCACTGGACAGCGTGCCGGGATCTCAAGATCCCGGTCCACGCAATTTCATAAGTTTCTCCAAAGCCTTTTACACTGTCTCACACACAGTCCCAATGCATAAGATAGCTGGGTTGGATATACGCAGCCAAGTGCTACGCGGCTGCAGGACTACTTAGACAATAGGGGGTTCTGCAGAGTAGTCAATAGGACCTACTCAAACTGGAGAACATCCTCATCCGGTGTCTCACAGGGAGCAATCTTGGGTCCCACTGTTGTTCCTGCTGTTTCTGAATGACCTGCCGCTACATATCAGCTCCCTAATTCTCCTATACGCCGATGACGTCAAGTTATGAAGGGCAGTAACTTGCGAAGCGGAATCAAAATGATAAAATCCACCAGTCCTCTTGCGGGTCAGGGCATAATGGCATGTATTAGCTCTAGAATTACCGCAGTTATCCATGTAGCGTTTACAATCTAAGGAACCATAGCCGATTTAATGAGCCATTCGTGGTTTCACCGTGTTAAGTATGTACTTAGACATGCATGGCTTAATCTCTGAGGCAAGCATATGACTACTGGCAGGATCAACCAGTTTATTCACAGCATGATACACACCTGTCATTTGAACGGATATTTACACATTGGTTTTCAGGAGAGAACAGAATACACATCTAGACTTTTTAAAACCAGGACGGTATACAGTCTCATCATGTGGTGCGACTACAAGGATGCCTTCACTCTAGTGGACTATTCACACCATTTGTTTGCACAAGCAAGCATGATTATCATCCCAGTCAGTGATCGCATCGATCAATTATGCACAGCGCGGACAAGCCAGTTCTGACCTATCCCGCTTACAATACCTGTCAAACACAGTATTATAGGCAAGGGTAGCTTGCATTACAACGCCCCAATGACTTGTAAGGCCCTTGAGAGCTATGCTGGCAGCCACCAAATTCAATGAAACAGTTCACCCAGCGTGCCAATTGTACACACGATAAGCTTTCAATAGACCACCAAGATCACAGCAGACCGCAAGTGATTGCGGTAGTATATAACTTTCAGCTCTGGATATCAATGTAGCCTAGGCTGTATTAAGGTTAGACTCTGCGGATAATAAGCAAGGTAGCATAGCATAGAGCTACTGGGCCCAAACAAGCTTAAAACCCATTGTCACAACCGAAATATCACTATCATGCATCCACAATGTGCTCGGTTACATCTGGAGCATTTTCGTTTTTTCGACTTTTTGGACCTCAGTTAGGGGTAGTATCCCTGAAAACACTAGAGGAATGGGGAACTAATAACGAACTGGCATTTAACCTGGACAAGTGCCGCTTCATGCTTTTCCGCACTCCTGACCCCCAGCACGTATGCTACCATCTCTAGGGTTCACGTCTATCCCATACCACAGCAGAAAAGGACACGGGTTTAGTGGTGACGGAGAATCTGGACACAAGTTCCAATTACCCAGGCGATGCTTCAAAAGCATATGGTGTACTACACTTTGTGCGAAGACAATTAGGTGCCCCATACCAGAGCCCTTTCTGGAGCTCTACAAGATTTAAATACGACAGCACTCAGGGGTCCACAACGTCTTTGCACCGCCACATCTGGAGAGAGGCACAAAACTACCGGAGAAAGTCCAGGGGCGAGCCACAAAAGGAGTTGTTGGGGTGCAGCGATAACCACATGGGGATAGGCTGAAAGACCTAGGCCTATGCCGTCTGAGCTACAGAAGGTCAAGCGGTGACTTGATAATAGGTTACAAAATACTGAACAACCCGAGTCACCTGAACGAAGGATTACTACTGAGTGGGCACTAAGGAGATCCTTGAGCAAACCCTAAGAGATTGCCCACCAAAGGTGAAAAACTCATGTGCGTTCACAGTTCTTCTCCCTCCTAGTCTGTGGGTATTGGAATGCACTACCAGCAGAGGTGGTCTCCACCCCAACTATTGAAAGCTTCAAGAAGAGGCTAGACAATCACGTAGAGACCCATGGTCTACCCACATAAAGCTCCAATACTAACCAAACAGAAGACGTCAACTGATGCCAAACCACCACAACTGTTTTAACCCTGTAACAAGTTTTCTTTCATCGTAGCTATTTAAGCCCTTCTCATCCCTCGCACTCCCCATGAGTTAGCCTCACTCACCTGAGTTCTTCATATCTTTGCACCCTTCCTCGCCTTACTTGAATGTAAGTAGATTACTCCATAAGCCCACCTTTCGTTTCCCCTTTTACTCACACAAATTCACCTCTCTGGGTTTTCTCTTCACTACTCCCTACCCTATTCAGAGACCAGTCCGAACAACTGCCTGGCAACTCGATATCTGAAGAAGCCAACTGCACCAAGTCCAAGGCGAACAAACCAACACTTAACTTCCTATTCTGTAAGTCAGAGCTATAGCAGACCAGTGGCTGGGTCTACTGCATCGGAATCCACCAAAGACCTGGAACCGTTCCACAAGACCAAGAAGCGAGCGCGAACAAATTAACTGGTTTACACAAGCTCGTCAAAAAGATATTGGATATTGGATTGGATAGATAAACGGCCATATGATTATGATATCACCTGGTTTTAGGTTGATCTTAAGCGGCCTAAGTTTATCATGAAGGTAGTCATGGATCCTGGTGAAGATGAGACTGTATAGTTGCATAAACATTAAAGGTTCAGTGAATGGCGAAAGACCTAAGAAGCCCACTGCACTGCTATATCGGAATGTGAACATTCAAAATATGAATAGAGATGGGCAATCCACACAGAGACAGCTATCAGAATGCAGGACAGACGGAAATATTCCTGCGGTGGCGATGGTATGAGCCACACTTAGCACGCTAAGCCCCTGGACTAGTAGAATCTGACAACTGTCGAAAAGTACCCAGGAACTTCGCTTCGGTTCTCTTCACCACCAAAAGGCTGCAAACGGTGAAGATTTTTAGGGTGTAAAAATACACAAGTCAGATGTCCTGTGGTGAATAGGTTTCACTATAATTGATTCACCGACTTACATCGTGACCAGATACTTTTCTGACGTTTTAAATCACATGAAAAGGAATAAAATACGCACGGAATTCCGTTGAGCCACGACGACTATAATGTTGAGTGTGTTTTGATCTGTTTTTCATACACTAGTGTTCCTACTAAGGATGCGTAAAACATTACGGACGTCTTATTAATGACTCAGATATTCAAGTCCATTGGATGGAAGTGAAATGACAGCCTTTCATGTTTAGAAGAGATTTATCCAGATAAACAAAAGGCATTACATTACAGTATCCCCACAAGTTGTCAATTTATTCATGCATTTACCAAAGGACAATGCAATGACGAAATGCAAGGTTACTCCGATATTTCAGTTGGGACGGGTAGATGATAATTTTTATCGTTGAAATCGATGAATTGGATGGCTCTTTCAGAGACCGATGACATGTTGCAAAACGCCACATTCTCTAAGGAAATTGAATCCGTGGTTCATTTCTGTAGGATGTTTATTCTGCCATGATGAAGGCCAAAGATGTCATAGCAATGGAAGACTAACAAAACTTTGTTTTTCAAATAGCGCTCAAATTATGCAGGGAAGATATCCAGGCAAGTGAGCGTGAGGACCAACCAACGTTGAGAATGACAAAAAGTGAGTTTCAGGAACCTCAGAAGACATACACAGATTAGAAAACAGACCAGCAACCACGCATCATTTGTCTGAAACGGTACAAAACATTGATTTTGACGGAAGCAAAGCTTCACGAAGTAGTTTCAGAATAGAAAGAAAAATTTACTGCCAGGACCTCGCAACATGGACCAGTCCAAAGAGCTTAAATTGACGCGATGGAGTCCAGTTGGCTATACTTTGACAAGCACTGAGTGATATTTATACAAGAAGCGAGAAAAGTAAACAATAGCCCCAAAGTTTTTGATTGTTGACTCAACTTTGAACTGAGTTATCGTTAGGGCTGTCCATAATTATTTTCTAAGACAAAACTGACGCCGATATCTGTCGATTCTCAAAGCCTTCATGCATGAGACCGCTGCATGCACGAATATTGTGCATATGTTCAAAATGTTTACACTTCTGTGTAGACCAGTGATATCTCTCCGGCACAAATATTTACTTGTAGAATCGACCATCGCCTGATGGGACTCTGCGGTTGAGACTGGAATGAACTGACTTACCCCAAAAGTGATTTAGTAAAGTATGAGCGCCTTAAGAGTTCTTTCTGTCAGACTACGTCGGCTACCGAATCTATGCTGTCAGAAGCCTCTCAAAAAACTCACATATTCGTCCATCTGAAGTTTTAGAAAAACTGGCTGCTCAGTCAAGTTAGTTCGTTTGTGCAAGTGTTCCGGAAGTCAAAACTAACATGAGCTGTGTTCAGGCCCAAATTTTAGAAAGGAAGTAATTGCATGCAACACCTAGCTGCTGTTATCATGGTCTTTAGACAGCTGCATACAAAAGTATTTTACTCTCTTTCTTAGAGCTATTGCAAAAGATGATTTCTCATACATAAAAATTATGACTTACCGAGGAAAAGTAAACCTCAGGAGCAATAAGTGAAAGTTTGGAAATCATTCATTTCCGCAACAGGTTCAAATAATTCTGATGGCAATATTATTGTCCGTGACCTATGAAAGTTCGCTTTTTGCTCACGTTCGTAACTAAAGAGTCCCCACCACTTTTCGTTTTATTGACTGACAATTGAATTATTTTTGTATAAACTTCTGTCTTTCAAAGATGTGGGTTACAGTTACCCCGGCTAACTTAACTTAGTAATAACTCAAAGGTAGGCAAGGTTTTTTCTTATTAAGAGGAGTGTTTCCTATGCTAGTTATATTTAGCCTCTTCACTCTTCTTCAGATACCCTCTGATTAGTAATATACACTGAAAGCTAGAGTTTTCTGCTCAGGGTTAATATGATATAATGTGTTAAAGCGACTTTTGTTTCAATCTTTTCATTTTGTTGCAAATTAAAAAAATCCTCAGCTTATGCATTCATTTAAACAGGTTTGAATTGTCTTGTCTCTGGTGTACGGTGAATTTATGGTGTGGTGTTGTAAGTTTTATTGTCTTACAAACCCATCCAGTTTTCTCGAAATCATTTGAAACTTTAATACTAGCTAGGTGCAGTTATCAGACTTTAGTTTTCCTCCACTTCACTATCAAATTTAAAGGAGTCTCTTGCGTTTCACCTGGGTACGATGGCCAAGATTGTGTAGTGAGGTCTCAAGAAGCTGCATTTACTAATAAAATCGGTCATTCAGGTCTTGTCATACAAGGCAAGGTTGTAAAATATTAGTAAGGCTAAAAATTTCCATCATCATGCAAACACTTAGCGCTCTTGTGGAGATCGGAGGTCGGAGTTGTACTCAGTGGATAGGGGTGGTGGCAGTAAGGTTCCTCTCAAGCAACCAAACTTTTGAATAGAGGGCTTTTGTACTCAGAGGGCTATCGCTTTTTCAAATATCCCTAAGAAATTCCTTTTGCCTACAACTTACCATTGTTCCTAACAAGTTTCTCTAAGTACGAATCCAACTCTGAACACCCTCAGGGAGAGCATATGTCTGCTATCACGCAGATGGTTCTCTGACCTTGTTCTCACACCAAAATAATCTGGCTTTTCTATCACGTATATTAACTCTCATGGCTTAGGGAACCATAAGCCGTCCACTCACTCCTAGCAACACGTGAGACCCACCTTACTGTCACCAACTCTATTCATCTTTGTCGTGCCCTCCGATGAGTTTTCTCAACTGACCCCACAACAAGACAAGAACACGTCTTTGTCGAAAAAGTGATTTTCTAGTGCAGTAATTGGAACTATAAGATTTTGCTGTCCTAGAGCGACTTTGTAATGACCTAGAATACCGTGATAGAAAAACAAGGTTTTCTCAACCTAAAAATGAAATAATCTTGAATATGGTTTTTAAAACCTCGCCTAGTTAACGAGTTCACTAGTTACTAGCCAGTCCTAAGCCCAAATAAAGAGGGAAGATAGAGCAAAGGGCTAGTAGCCTTACCCCGTAAAACCAATCTAATCGCTAAAGAAATTCCAAAGCACAAAGAAAGTATAAAAAGCAAACTGATTCCTCGCTAGAATCGGGGAGACGAAATGACGCTGGTTGGTGAAAGCCTTCGGGGAGCCAGATGGCCTATGTGTCTTCTCTCTCTCGATGAAAGCGAAAGTAAGAATGGGGACATGGAATGTTCGAACAATGTTTGAAGCTGGCTGGCTGGCAAGGCTGCCCAGATTGCGAAATAGATGAGAAGGTATCACATTGAAGTGCTAGGAATCTGCGAGAGCAGATGGAATGGAAGTGGACTCACCAAACTGTAAACTTGAGAGTCACTAATCTACTCCGATATTGTCACCCAGATGACAACCACTAGCACACTCAGTTATAAAGTGGCTATCATGATGTTTCCAAGATCGTTGAAGGCTCTCATGCAGTAGGAACCAATCTGCTCCTGCAGGATCACGGCAGCAAGACTCAACTTAATCACAATCATACAATGCAACGCTACAGGCCTACAAATAATGCAGATGAAGAGAAGAAGGGGTAATTCTACAGACAACTGCAATCAGTAATGGACAAGACTCCATTTGGTGACATCAAAATTCTAATGGGTGGGGTGACATGAATGGCAAACTGGGAGGGGACAACTGAGGAAGAAAAGTCATTATGGGTTGAGAAGCACTCGGTGAGATGAATGAGAACGTAGAACTGTCTGCAGATTTTTGCTCATTCAGCGATTTGGTGATTGGAGGTAGTGTGTACAAGCACAAGGATATTCAGGAGGTAGCGACATGGATTTCGGCAGACGCCAGGACACTAAAAATCAGATCGACTTCATCTCAATGTGAAGAAAGTGGAGACGCAGCCTACTGCACACGAGATCAAATCAAGAAGAGAGATGAGCAGATGTAAGTGGTTCACACCACTCACTATCTAGTGCAAGGAACCTACCTTCAAAACCAAGTTGAAAGCCTTCATAAACGAAGCTGGTGATAGACCACAGATCACGTTCGGCACCCAGAACAGAAACTGAACTGAATAACGAAACTAAAAAGGACATCTTCACGTCAGCAAGTCATTAGGAAAAAATGGGAGACATTAGGCAACATCCCCGAGGAAACCTATGTGGAAGAACACTGGAAGTCTTTGAAAGAGACGATGAAGGGGACCTGCATAACGGTGTTAGGAAGGAAGAAGAGACAAGACCAGACGAGACAAGGAATGGATCTCGACGGACATATGAAAGCTGGTAGAGAAGGGAGAGGAAGATTGTGAAGCATAAGATAAACCTGTGCAAGGATGAAGAAGGAAAAGAGGAACTGAACACAATACTGGACAGAGGAGTGAAGAAGAGTGTGCACAAAGACAAAAGACACTTCTACGACACACTTTCAAATGAAGCAGAACAGACTGCAGGTAGGAGAGATAGAGACCTGACAACGTCATATCAAATAACTAGGTCACTCATTATCTGGGGAGAGATCGACACATGTGAAACCAATGGAAGATAGTGTAGGAAACTTAGTTACCACCACTACCAGTGAACCCATGCCCCCGACAAAAGCAGTATTGAAGTCCTGAATGTCATAAAGTTGCTGAAGTCTAGGAAAGCAGCAGGACCAGATGAAATTCCTTCAGAAGCACTGAAAACAGACGCAGAGTCATCAGCGGACATGCTCACACCACTATTGCAGAAGGTTTGGAAGGCAGGGCAGGTACCTGGTGATTGGAAGAAGGGATACCTCACCAGCGGACTCACAAAGAAGGGCGACCTAAGTCTTTGCAAGAACTGGTGTGTAATCATACTCCTGTCCCTGTCCAACCCAAGCAAAATATTAAGCCGCATCATCCTGGAGAGACTAAGGTATGCTCTGGATTCAAAATTATGACCGGAACAGGCTGGAGTCAAGAAGTACAAATCATGTGCGGACCAAATTACAACGCTTCGAATCATCATAGAATAGAGTATAGAATGGCAGTCAACCCTCTACCTCAACTTCATCGACTTTGAAAAGGCCTTTGACAGCGTCGACCGAGAAGTAGTTTGGCTGCTGCTTCAACACTACGGTTTTAGTGCCACAAATCTTTATCGACCTCATTTAACAACTATACGAAGACGCCACATGCCATGTGATTCATAATGGGAAGCTCAGTCACACTTTTGAAGTGAAGACAAGTAAAGAAAGACAGGGTTACCACCTACTATCACCGATGATCTTTCTGATTGTGGTTGACTCGGCTGGATCCTGCAGCAGACCGTGATGAGCAAGAAGGTGGACATATGCTGGTTGGATCGATAAAAAGAGCTTAGAAGATTTGGATTTCGTCGATGATTTGTGTTCAATGTCGCACAAACTCGAAGTTCTACAGGCAAAAACCAACAAGTTGACAAAAGAGGTAGTGAAGATATGACTTCAGGGGAACATAGAGAAGACGGAGGTGAAGGAGATACCCAACCAACCAACCAACAACAAAAAGCACCAATCACCTTCAACGGGAGAAGCCTAAAGGAAGAAGTCTCTTGCATCTACCTGTCTAGGCAGCATCAGTCGGCTGCACAGATAAGGACGTCAAAACCAGGATCGCAAAAGCCAGACAGGCCTTCATTACTCTAAAATCAGTATGGAGATCTACTGCACTTAGAATAAAGAACAAGATCCAGATTTTCAACACCGATTCCGTCGTCAGTGGTTCTATATGGTTGAGAGACTTGGCAATTTACGAAAAGCATTTCCAACAAACTACAGACATTCATCAACAACTGCCTACGCTCATTACTGAAAATCAGATGGCCAGAACAACAAGAATGAGCAACAAGTAACTCTGACCGGGTAACGAAGACAGAACTCATCGCCCAACAAATATCCGGAAGAAAGTGGGGGTGGATTGGATTGAACATACACTGAGAAGACGGTTTGGGGAAACCACACGCCAAGCCCTCGAGTGGAATCCGAATGGGAAACGACGAGTTGGGCGTCCCAGCTGAGGGTGACATGGGGGAGATCATGTGAAGAAGAAATGAAAGCTTGTGGGCAGTCGTGGAGCCATGTTTAGAAGACTGCAGAGAACAGAGTGCAATGGAGACGTGCTACTGAAGTCCCATGTTCCACTAGGAACCCAAGGGACAAATAATAGTAATAATAATGGTTTTTAAGGATTTTGAAGAACTTATCTGGATTTTAGACTACTTACTGCTAAAAGTGGGAGTACGTTAGGTAATGAATAAGCACTTATGCGGTCCCGTATTGCGAGTAAATACTCCGTACACACCCCCGTAGAAACTCTGTAATTAACTCACCAACCAGTTGAATGCTCGTGCAATAAGCAATGAGCCACACGTTTGTGTGAGGGCTTTTGATGCTTCTTGACTGCCCAAACTGTGATAGATGGAGCCGCATCCTAACCGGTGACCCACCGGTTTAAAGTCAACATCCTACACCAGTAACCACTACTCCACAATCCCTGTAGAAGAATTTAAAGACTAAAATGAGAATTAAAAAGACCCAAGTTTCATGAAATTGAATATTAGACTTCAGCGTTGGTGCTGAAGATAGAACCTATTTACTGAAACTTAGTGGGTACTATGAACTTACATGCGATTAAGTGGTAAGTTTACGAAGTTGAAATGTTGGCGTAGAGTGTGTAGCCATATACTAAAGCATACCCCTTGTGAACTCCATAAATTTCGTCACTTTAGAAAATGCAAGCTTGTGAAAAATCCCAGGAAATTAGGAAACAGTGTGGGACGATCAAGTAAGCCATAATTAGC